TGACAAAATGACTCCCGACATATTGGCTCCAGACCAATGAATGACCATTATTGGCATAAAAGTAACCATTTTGTCCTACCTTCAATACCACTATAAATTCTTTTGAATGCCCGAACGAAATTGTTTTTCATGAACCAACATTAATTCACAATCAAATCAAGCCCTTAACAGATAAATTCCACCAATTCTAAAGTTTTGATAATGTTTAATTTACAACAGAAAAGATCTGTTGCTTTAAAAGCAAGCACAGAAGTGTAAATGTATGATATTTATGTTTACATGATAACAGCATCTTGTTTTGATAACCTACAAGCATACTGCAGGTAGGAAGGTATAGCACTGAGTTGGAACAGCCTATCGACTCAATTATGGATGTCATAGATAGATGACCCTTAAATTAAAACATACTATATTTTATAATAGATAAACTAATATAAAAATAAGGCCTGCCGAACAAGAGATGCATACGTTGTATTCAGTGGCGGAACTAGAAAAAATGGGCCACCCCGCAAAAATATTTTTATCTATATCTATATCTATATCTATATCTATATCTATATCTATATCTATATCTATATCTATATCTATATCTATATCTATATCTATATCTATATCTATATCTATATCTATATCTATATCTATATCTATATCTATATCTATATCTATATCTATATCTATATCTATATCTATATCTATATCTATATCTATATCTATATCTATATCTATATCTATATCTATATCTATATCTATATCTATATCTATATCTATATCTATATCTATATCTATATCTATATCTATATCTATATCTATATCTATATCTATATCTATATCTATATCTATATCTATATCTATATCTATATCTATATCTATATCTATATCTATATCTATATCTATATCTATATCTATATCTATATCTATATCTATATCTATATCTATATCTATATCTATATCTATATCTATATCTATATCTATATCTATATCTATATCTATATCTATATCTATATCTATATCTATATCTATATCTATATCTATATCTATATCTATATCTATATCTATATCTATATCTATATCTATATCTATATCTATATCTATATCTATATCTATATCTATATCTATATCTATATCTATATCTATATCTATATCTATATCTATATCTATATCTATATCTATATCTATATCTATATCTATATCTATATCTATATCTATATCTATATCTATATCTATATCTATATCTATATCTATATCTATATCTATATCTATATCTATATCTATATCTATATCTATATCTATATCTATATCTATATCTATATCTATATCTATATCTATATCTATATCTATATCTATATCTATATCTATATCTATATCTATATCTATATCTATATCTATATCTATATCTATATCTATATCTATATCTATATCTATATCTATATCTATATCTATATCTATATCTATATCTATATCTATATCTATATCTATATCTATATCTATATCTATATCTATATCTATATCTATATCTATATCTATATCTATATCTATATCTATATCTATATCTATATCTATATCTATATCTATATCTATATCTATATCTATATCTATATCTATATCTATATCTATATCTATATCTATATCTATATCTATATCTATATCTATATCTATATCTATATCTATATCTATATCTATATCTATATCTATATCTATATCTATATCTATATCTATATCTATATCTATATCTATATCTATATCTATATCTATATCTATATCTATATCTATATCTATATCTATATCTATATCTATATCTATATCTATATCTATATCTATATCTATATCTATATCTATATCTATATCTATATCTATATCTATATCTATATCTATATCTATATCTATATCTATATCTATATCTATATCTATATCTATATCTATATCTATATCTATATCTATATCTATATCTATATCTATATCTATATCTATATCTATATCTATATCTATATCTATATCTATATCTATATCTATATCTATATCTATATCTATATCTATATCTATATCTATATCTATATCTATATCTATATCTATATCTATATCTATATCTATATCTATATCTATATCTATATCTATATCTATATCTATATCTATATCTATATCTATATCTATATCTATATCTATATCTATATCTATATCTATATCTATATCTATATCTATATCTATATCTATATCTATATCTATATCTATATCTATATCTATATCTATATCTATATCTATATCTATATCTATATCTATATCTATATCTATATCTATATCTATATCTATATCTATATCTATATCTATATCTATATCTATATCTATATCTATATCTATATCTATATCTATATCTATATCTATATCTATATCTATATCTATATCTATATCTATATCTATATCTATATCTATATCTATATCTATATCTATATCTATATCTATATCTATATCTATATCTATATCTATATCTATATCTATATCTATATCTATATCTATATCTATATCTATATCTATATCTATATCTATATCTATATCTATATCTATATCTATATCTATATCTATATCTATATCTATATCTATATCTATATCTATATCTATATCTATATCTATATCTATATCTATATCTATATCTATATCTATATCTATATCTATATCTATATCTATATCTATATCTATATCTATATCTATATCTATATCTATATCTATATCTATATCTATATCTATATCTATATCTATATCTATATCTATATCTATATCTATATCTATATCTATATCTATATCTATATCTATATCTATATCTATATCTATATCTATATCTATATCTATATCTATATCTATATCTATATCTATATCTATATCTATATCTGGCAGGTGTCATATTCAATGAGACCGCTTTGCCGGGCGACTTAGTCTCTACAGAAACGGTATTATCAGAGGTCCTTTTGTCTGGAGCCAAATTAACAGGAGCCTTTTTGTCGTGAGCCAAAATGACGCTAGCCTATTTGTCGGGAGTCGTAATGACGGGGGCCGTTTTGTAGAGAAACTAAATGGCGGGAGCCTATTTGTCGGGAGTCGTAATGACGGGGGCCGTTTTGTGGAAAAAACTAAATGACGGGAGCCTATATGTCGGGAGCCAAAACGACGGGAGCCTATTTGTCGGGAGCCTTATTGACTGGAGCCCTTTTGTCGGGAGCCTATATAACGGGAGCCTATTTGTCGGTAGCCTAAATGACGGGAGTCTATTTGTCGGGAGCCTATATGACGGGGTCCATATGTCGCTGGCCCTTTTGACGGGGCCGATTTGACGGGGTCGTTTTGACGGGGTCGTTTTTTCGGGGTCGTTTTGACGGGGCCGTTTCGTCATTGGCCGAATTGACGCCGCACGATATTTATATATAAATTCCTATTTAGCATTACATAGCAAAGATACCCTAGTACAGGGGTCGGCAACCTGCGGCTCGCGAGCCGCATGCGGCTCTTTTGATATCAAGATGCGGCTCTCCAGCTCCTTGCACAAATACTAATAATCTTAATAAAAAAAATAAAATATTTGAAAAAAAAAAAATGTTAGTGGCTCTTTAAAACCAGGGAAATTTTGAAAATTGTAACTTTTGGCTCTTCCACTTCAAAAGGTTGCCGACCCCTGCCCTAGTACAATTGATTACAGTCTGGATTTGTATCTGTAGACTTCTAGGATGAGATCAGAATTTTCAAACAAATGTGAAATCTAGACGTTTTTATACTGATAATTAAAATACACATCTGTCTAGGTCGTCAAAACGATTTTTTGCTTTCGTTGATATTTTAAATATTTTTTAAAGATAACAGAGCAATATTTCCCTTTTATCTCATCAGCAATATCTCACCACTTATCAGAGATACATCTCTTCACAATCTCGTTAGCAGGGTTAAATGTAATCTATGAATTTTATAGACTTTAAACTTTGTAATCGACGACCACGTTCAATGATCTCAGAAATCAGTGATAGATTGACAGCACCGCAGACAATTGGGGCACCCTTTGTTTAGCTTGCTGACAGTTCCTGAGATTTTGTAGCATTAGTTTGAGATCAGAGCATCAGGAAATGTGGCACTCTCATTCTTCTGTTGTTTGTACAATTGGCTGGCTTAAACATGTCTTTAGATATCCAGTTACAAGCACAGGTTGTAGTACTAAATTACAATCCCGGCTTGTAGTACTGGGATACAATCCCATATTGTAGAACTGGGACACAATTCCAGATTGTAGTACTGAGCTTTGTGTTTAAGACACTCCCGTCATCTTCAGTCGCTTGACCCGATGGTTCACCTTATAAGGATAGTAACTAGCATCGTCTATTCTCTTGAACGTTTCGCCTTATTCTATGCCCTTTTTCGATGGTTGTCTAGATATGAGCTATGCAGTAACACATATCATGCGAAATAAGTATTTTTATGTTGTCGGCCTTATTTATGTTGTCGGCCTTATGGTTTGTCGGCCTTATGTCCTGTCGGCCTTTTGTCTTATCGGCCTTTTGGATGTCGGTCTTTTGTCCTACACCCTTTATTAGACTCTCACACACTGTGGTGATCCCAAGTTCTACCAGCTGCCCCTAGAGCCAATTTATTGGACCATATACAACAGTGTGGTGATCAAAAGCTCGCAATACAACAAACAGATCAACGTCATTTAGCATCTCTAGTTACTAGCTTAGTTTCGAGGAAATCCTAATAGAATTTTAATTTTTTAATAATAAAAAAAGCAATGATAAAATTTAAAAAATGTAATAAAATCTATCAGTATCGGTGATCAATACCACGTGACTTAAGTGTTATTGTCAGATAGATTTTATCTTTTCCTACTGTCTTATCTGTGATGATAATTCAGTTAAACGATCAATCCTTTCAAATGATTTTGCCTTACTCGAAAATAACACATACAAGTGGTCCATTTTACCCTGGGTCTGTGTACTGTGTACTGGGTCTGTGTACTGGGTTTGTGTACTGGGTCAGTGTACTGGGTCTGTGTACTGTGTATTGGGTCTGTGTACTGGGTCTGTGTACTGGGTCTGGGTCTGTGTACTGTGTACTGGGTCTGTGTACTGGGTCTGTGTACTGGGTCTGTGTACTGGGTCTGTGTACTGGGTCTGTGTACTGGGTCTGTGTACTGGGTCTGTGTACTGTATACTGGGTCTGTGTACTGGGTCTGTGTTCTGGGTCTGTGTACTGGGTCTGTGTACTGTATACTGGGTCTGTGTACTGGGTCTGTGTACTGGGTCTGTGTACTGTGTACTGGGTCTGTGTACTGGGTCTGTGTACTGGGTCTGTGTACTGGGTCTGTGTACTGGGTCTGTGTACTGGGTCTGTGTACTGTATACTGGGTCTGTGTACTGGGTCTGTATACTGGGTCTGTGTACTGGGTCTGTGTACTGGGTCTGTGTACTGGGTCTGTGTACTGGGTCTGTGTACTGAGTCTGTGTACTGGGTCTGTGTACTGTGTACTGGGTCTGTGTACTGGGTCTGGGTCTGTGTACTGTGTACTGGGTCTGTGTACTGGGTCTGTGTTCTGGGTCTGTGTACTGGGTCTGTGTACTATATACTGGGTCTGTGTACTGGGTCTGTATACTGGGTCTGTGTACTGGGTCTGTGTACTGGGTCTGTGTACTGGGTCTGTATACTGGGTCTGTGTACTGGGTCTGTGTACTGGGTCTGTGTACTGGGTCTGTGTACTGTATACTGGGTCTGTGTACTGGGTCTGTGTACTGTATACTGGGTCTGTGTACTGGGTCTGTGTACTGGGTCTGTGTACTGGGTCTGGGTCTGTGTACTGTGTACTGGGTCTGTGTACTGGGTCTGTGTTCTGGGTCTGTGTACTGTGTACTGTATCTGTGTACTGGGTCTGTGTACTGTGTACTGGGTTCTGTGTACTGGGTCTGTGTACTGTGTACTGGGTTTGTGTAGTGTGTACTGGGTCTGTGTACGGGGTTTGTGTACTGGGTCTGTGTACTGTGTAGTGTGTACTGGGTCTGTGTAGTGTGTACTAGGTCTGTGTACGGGGTTTGTGTACTGGGTCTATGTACTGGGTCTGGGTAGGGTTTTCCCTTTTTATATAATTTATTTCATAAAATACTACTACACAAATCAACTGTTGTTTTGTTTTGTCTTCAAGTTGTTTTTTTACTTGCAGCCTAAGTGACAGTTTTCTAATCTGCTCTCCTTGTGCCCCCCCCCCCCCCCCCCCCCATAAATCCCTCTAAAAGGTAATGGTTTAGTAGGTGAAACAACACTCGCTATCTGGTTCAGATCTGCCATATTTATAACCTCACCCCCCCCGCCACCGTCTCGCTAGTCATTGACTGTCAAGGAACCTGAAACATCACATGCTCGTGATGACGAAAATGTTTACAATGTATTGTAGTGGGTCACTGGCTACTGCGGAGTAGAACGAAACTTGGAGAAAGTTAGATATTGCATTTCTAAATCAAGATATATATATATATATATATATATATATATATATATATATATATATATATATATATATATATATATATATATATATATATAAACACATTATGATTATACAATAAATAATTTGTACTTTTTCCCTAACATAATATGTACAATTTACCGAATTTACCGATTAGCAAGTTCTTTCATTATTGATATTTACTCTGGAAAGGATATACCATGATCTCCCCTCCCCCCCCCTTTATAAACTCACCACTATACTATGCTCTCATATGCCCCTATATATACTCCCATATACCATACCCCTATAACCTCACCACTACAACATGTTCCCATATAACACTTGTCTTTATACATGCTTTTGTACATCATACTCCCCTGTAACCTAACACATATAACATGCTCCCACATAACAATGGCCTCTATACAAACTCCCGTATGCCATACCCCTATGAACTCACCAATATACCATCTTCACTTTAAAGTTCTTAGCCATTTTTCACATCTGTGTAATAAGAGCACATGACTTATTCAACTGATATGGATGAATAGATGATTTGTATAGAATAAAGTGTCTAAGGGAAATAACTGAGGAATTACTAAACTATTTCACGGTTAATTCCCTTTGGTTTTTGTTCACATTTCTAATTATTCACATTATGATAATCATTAATTTAAAACTTTTTGAAGCGCAAGCAAAGCTCCTTAGTTTTTTTAAAGTTTAGCACTCATTATACAACAACATTTGACTGTTGTGCCCAGCCCACAACCACTTGCGAAAATAACATTTTACAATAGATCTAAAGTACCCCACCACACATTTTACATAGCATACTACTACCCTATATAACACAATATAATAAAATGTCCCCCCCCCCCCAAACATCATGTGGGTTATATAATCTGTGCACTATCCCTTAGCTTCCAGTGAACGAGGACTGTCTTCAAGTCGTTGGTGGTCAGTTTTGTTTCTTTGATTGTGTATCCGCTGTCCGAGGGGATGACCACTGATATTGTTTTTGTCAAGGCTTGGACTTGTATCGTATTGTGTCGGCACATCTTGTAGAGAAACCATTGAAACGAGTGTGTTTTGTATGTGTAGGCCAACGTAAGTTTGTTGTGTGTGTGTGTGTGTTCATCGGCATGAGTGTAGTGTGTACGTGTGGGTGGGTGGGGGAGGCGGAGTGTGGACGTGCGTGTATGTATGTGCTTGTGAGTGTCTGTGATTGCATGCTTGGAGATGATGCGGCCACAGATAGTAGCACCAAGACGGTGACACACAGCGATGGTGTAAGCCACAGATGGTAGTTCACCAAGATGGTGACACACGGCGATGGTGTAAGCCACAGATGGTAGTTCACCAAGATGGTGACACACGGCGATGGTGTCAGTTCCAGATGGTGACACACGGCGATGGTGTCAGCCACAGATGGTGGATCACCAAGATGGTGACACATGGCGATGGTGTCAGCCACAGATGGTGACACACGGCGATGGTGTCAGCTAAAGATGGTGACACACGGCAATGGTGTCAGTTACAGATGGTGACACACGGTTATGGTGTCAGCCACAGATGGTGGATCACCAAGATGGTGACACACGGCGATGGTGTCAGCCACAGATGGTGACACACGGCGATGGTGTCAGCTAAAGATGGTGACACACGGCGATGGTGTCAGTTACAGATGGTGACACACGGTTATGGTGTCAGCCACAGATGGTGGATCACCAAGATGGTGACACACGGCGATGGTGTCAGCTAAAGATGGTGACACACAGAGATGGTGTAGGTTACAGATGGTGGATCACCAAGATGGTGACACACGGCGATGCTGCTGATGATACAGAGATTGTGCGAGATAGAGTGAGATAGTGCGAGATTTCGCCCACTCAATAGATATGTGTTATCATTTACCGCTTTTCGGCGGTTCTCAGACTAATGTAGAGTCACCAAGTGTGTCTTCATCTTAGCTGCAGTGAATGCAAGCCTTCCAATGAACGAATAGTCTCCTTGTATAATTTTCAAAAAATTAAATCAAAGCAAACTTACTTTTTAAAAATGCTTTCTTGGTTTTCGAAGCAAAATACCAACACTGTCTATGTTTCAAATGATTACATTTTATAATCTAAGTATTAAATCTTTCTCTGTTTAAAAACCAATATAATTTTTAAGCAGAGAGCAACGAATGCAGACAGACCATTGGCCTACTAAAGTATTATTTCAACGAAAACACAATGTCAGGTCCGATAACTGGTGATGACGAATTGAAATTGCTAATCGATATACTGGCCCAGAGGCGTAACGACGGGGGTGGGGGGGGCAGGGCTGGACATATGTCCCAGGGCGCCGAACTTTCGGGGCGCCAAAAGGGGTTGGAAAAACAAATCGAAAGCTTGAGGGGGGGGGGGGGGGGTTGCAAATCGAAAGTTTGAGGTGGGTATAAATCGAAAGTTTGATGGGGGTGCAATTCGAAAGTTTGTCCCCGGGCGCCGGGAAGGGTCGCTACGCCTCTGCACTGGCCAGAGAGCAGAAAGTACATAGGTATTTCTCTAGATCTACAGTGTGTAGTCTGTGATGTTACATCACAATACATAACATCACAGACTACATACGGTAGATCTAGAAATAAAAACCAAGTAATTTTTTATCTCTGAATGACAACCAAAGCTAGGGTACAAAAAGTCGATTCAAAAATGTATAGGGCGTCTTCTATGCTACTTGTAAAAGTAAAACAAATATATATATATATATCGGAAAATAAATCTATGCACAATCAGTTTCTTAAGAGTATGCAGTCGCGAAAGAAGAGCTTGGACGAGGGAAAGGGAAGTATATTTGGAAAATTCTAGACCAATATCGATCTGCCAATTCCTATACTGTATATACATATATATCCTTATGTATGCCATATATATATATATATATATATATATATATATATATATATATATATATATATATATATATATATATCTGTGTCGTTATATATATATATATATATATATATATATATATATATATATATGGACACAGGTATATATTAGTAATGTGTGTATGTGAGAGAAAGAGCCATTCATGATTTGAAAGCTGAAAGGTGGCTACAATATTCCAGCAGAGCAAAGAATTTAAAAAGTCAAGAAATAAAAAAAACGTAAATTACAAAAAAAAAAACAATTTTATTGAACATCAAATTTGATATATGTACAGAAAAACTAAATGTACCTTTGGTTGACAACATTCACCAAGGACATGTTAAATTTGGACTGATACAAATTGGGTGACCAGATATTTCTGAACATCAAACTGAATGGCTAGGTGGTATAGGTCGACTGGATGGAAACTGTTTTTTTTTATACCACTGACAGAAAGCCTCCCACACCCTCTCCCCTATAACCCCCCCCCCCCACTGGTCACACTAACTATGGGAAATCTGACCACAGTGACTACTTTTCATGCAGCCTATTTGTGTATTTAGTCCATTTGTGTATTTAGTCCATTTGTATATTTAGTACATTTGTGTATTTAGTCCATTTGTGTATTTAGCCCATTTGTGTATTTAGTCCATTTGTGTATTTAGCCCATTTGTGTATTTAGTCCATTTGTTAACACAATCATCTGGTCATGATTGCTAATTAAGGCTGACCACTAATGTGTGGTGACAGTGTCCACTATAAATCACTAGCTTTAATTAATTGAGCATGATAAAACAACATCAAATCGCATTGTTTAAAATTCCCTGAATCTTTTTACATTTTTTTATATTTTTAAAATTTTTTTTTTATGTCAAGTCATTTGAGCTATAGAAATCTTGCATAAGACAAATAAAATCTTTTTATATTGCACATTCCTCATTAAAATAAAGTTTTAAAAATACATTATTTTGTGTTTTAACAACAGTTAATATAAAGTTACAAAGTAATATTATTACATGTAACTAACAGATAATTATTTTTTCTGTTTTACCTGTTGTTGTTTTTCAAGGTGTGGATATGTAACCTAAAAGATAATTAAATAACCTGGTTTGGAAACAACATAAAAAATAAAGTAAATAACCTGGTTTGGAACTGTTTTTTTACAAGTAGGCCTACATGTAAAGAATAAAAAATTTAAAATTAAATCTATGTAGGAAAATAATGTAATCTATTTTAAGTTATGAAATCTAATTTTTAAGGCAACATTTGTTTAATTTACATTGTGATTTTATTTTAAATTATTCAACTGAACTTGTATTTACAGTAAGGCACATTAATTATTTACAGTAGTGTATTAAAACATTTTAAAAATTTGGCTTGAAGTATACTTTCAATATCACGTAGTTGAAAGTTCTAAACATTGCTATAGATTACATCAAATAAAATAAGAATATAATCTAATTTTACATGAAAAACATGGTATGAATCAAAGACATTTGTGGGTTACAAAGTTATAAACCCCAGCAAGATGAGATATCATCTTTGTTTATTTGTGTGGACCATTTTTTTGTGTACAACTCTGATGAGTTTGTCAGTGTTTATTTTGTCAGTGATTAATGGTTATTTGTCATTGGTTAATGGTTATTTGTCATCATTTAATGGTTATTTGTCATCGGTTAATGGTTATTTGTCATTGGTTAATGGTTATTTGTCATCGGTTAATGGCTATTTGTTGTTGATTAGCCAGTGAACTGTTGATCCATGGTTTCTCCATCTCAGACTTTAACTTCTAGTATGTGTAAGAATTTCTTTGGAATTGAAAAGCTGTGGAAGAAAAAAAAATTGAAATCAATTTCAATCTGAATAAATATGAAAACAAAGTCAGTCTAAAATAGTTCTTCAATAAATATTTTTTATTTTTTTTAAAACTTTAATTAAGGCTTTTAAAAAAGGATATGTGATTTACTGTCAATTAACTGTTAATTACCCTCCAAACTTCTCTGTCAATAACCCTCCTGGCATTAATGAGAGTTTTGGCCATGGGGGGGGGGGGGGGGGGGGGGGGTTATATTGTCTTAAACTACAATAAAAGAACATTCCTTCTAAAACATACATCTGTAAGTTCTGTAGCACAGTTAAGTACCTGTACTATCAAATCATTAATAATTACTTTCTATTGGTCAAAACATCATTAACTAACCTGCCTGTACTATTTAAATTTTAAATATTAAAATTATAGTCTGAAAGTACCCTATCTCTACAAATAACAAATAATCTTTCTAAAAGTACCCTATCCCTACAAATAACAAATAATCTTTCTAAAAGTACCATTAACTCAATAACATCTACTCTTAAGGTACCACCAACAGTAGGGCCTACAATAAAATACCTTTCAACTCTGTTGGTTCATTGGCTGAGTAACATGTACTCTTAAGGTACCACCGACAGTAGGGCCTACAATAAAATACCTTTCAACTCTGTTGGTTCATTGGCTGAGTAACATCTACTCTTAAGGTACCACCAACAGTAGGGCCTACAATAAAATACCTTTCAACTCTGTTGGTTCATTGGCTGAGTGGGAGGTCATGTGACTGGTCAGTGCGTCCGTCTCCTCCCCTATAGAGCTCCTGGCTGGGCAGCACCCACAGGTCCTGTAGCAGCACTTCAGGCACCTGACCTCAAAGGCCTTGACCCCGTAGAAGAAGACGACCGCCAGCAGGACCATGACAAACACGGCTCCGATGACGGAAGGTATGAGCCAGGCCAGCTCCTCAGTGTGGGAGCTGGCCAGATTGTGGGAGCTGTTACTGCTCCCATCCACAAGAACCAGCTTGGACTCTGGAGCCGTGAGCGGAGTGTTGGTCAAGCCAAACTCGTCTGTCCTGTTCATGGTGGTTGTGTTGTACGTGGCGCTCACAGTGGTGAAGGAACTAGGGTTCAAATCTTCACCTGTGTTCATTGTGGACTTATCAAAGTCTGGGAACTAGTTTTATCTGAATGTTGTGATGGATGATTTGTGTTGTGGGTCAATGCCTGTGGTCTGGTGTTGTTTTCATCATCTGATGCTCATAGCCAGCCTTGTAGATTTGATCAGCACTGCAGATAAAAAAAACTAACACTTAATCCATAATATTGATAGGCTAATTCTAACACTTAATCCATAATACTGATAGGCTAATTCTAACACTTAATCCATAATACTGACAGGCTAATTCTAACATTAATCTATAATACTGATAGGCTTATTCTAACACTTAATCCATAATACTGATAGGCTAATTCTAACACTTAATCCATAATACTGATAGGCTAATTCCAACATTAATCTATAATACTGATAGGCTAATTCTAACACTAAATCCACAATACTGATAGGCTAATTCTAACACTTAATCCATAATACTGATAGGCTAATTCTAACACTTAATCCATAATACTGATAGGCCAATTCTAACACTTAATCCATAATACTGATAGGCTAATTCTAACACTTAGTCCATAATACTGATAGGCTAATTCTAACACTTAATCCATAATACTGATAGGCTAATTCTAACACTTAGAGATAAAGCATAGATACAATTAGCTTACATTTATTTTGTCTTACATTACATTTTATTTAACTATTTCTTTAAAAAAAAATAATTTTAAATCTCTCATCAAAATTTAAAAATTGTTTTTTTTTTAAAATTGTAATCCTAACATACCTACATTATGTAAGAATTTGCATAGGATTACATAGTTTGTTTTAAATGGGTTAAGGACAATGTATATTTTCACAAAGTTGCTTTAAGGATCTGCCACCTCGGATCATAGGAGGGGCTAGGGGGAGGGGGGGGGGGGCAGCAGTCATGAAGGTATTAATGACTTTTTTTTTTTTTTTTTTATTGAAAATTTTTATTATAACATCAAAAATGAAAAAGTACTTCAGTTTGAAAAATGTTGTGTACCAAAGAAAAATGACAAATATGATGATCAGATTGAAAAAAAAATGTACATAAAGACAGCGATGAGATGGAACAATCAACATCAACGACGTTTTTGTAAGATATTTCCACCACCTCTTCCTCTCTGTCCCCTGCGTCAAGCAGCTAGTGCTCTCAAGATAGCAGACTTTCCTCGACCAGCACCGCCACCTTTACCTTGGACTTTCTTGAACATCGGGGCATTTTTTAACATGTCAGGTAACACAAAAAAATCTTATTTTGCTGCCTCTGATGTAAACATTTTCAAGTTGAGCAACTCTACCATCTCTGTAGGTTACTGTGATATTTGCCATCTGACAGTTCATGTTATCTTCTGCTTCAATCAGTTTTCCTCTATACACTTCACCGGTTGAAGTTTCACAAGTAACTGTGTCCTTCTGCCTCACGCAGCACCTTAATAGGTACTCTAATCGACATCTTCATTTATTTAACTCGATGATGTATGTTGAGAGTTATTTTTAAATGCACATTACGTTGTGATTACATGGATTTGTCAATTGCCTTTTTGCCGGTCTCAAACAAAAAACAAATAGTCAATATACATTAATGACTTCTTGCTCTCACATGGCAACAAAAAGTAATATTACTACTAGTGATGTGCAGAACGTAACTTAAATAGCACAGCAGCTTTAGAAAGACATTGTTATTACACATGTTTGCTGGTTTTTACCACAGACTTTTTAATGTTATTACATGGCATTCGTTATAAGTTGGGTTACTTACAATTAAATGGATTTTAAAATATTTTTTAGGCAATATCCATTATTATATATTACGTAATGCTCCTTATCTATCTATATATATAATTCTCCTCTTCGAGCCGTTAGAAAACAAGCTGCAAACGCTCTCCCTACCTCCCCACCCCTACATGGTTTTAGTGAGCTGTGTTCACTCTAAATGTTTACAAGCAGAGCCAACGATTTTAAACGTAGGGGGGGGGGGAAGGAAGGGGGGGGGGGGGTTATGGTCCTTAACGAGCTACTTATAGTGTTTTAAAGAAATATTTTCTGTGTCAGCGTTGGTACTGTCGAATTCACAAATAATGAATTATTGAAAATTAGTAACAACTAAATAGCGGCGTATGTTATGCCGCGGGCCGGCTCGTTAGTCCTATTACGTTAGTTAGGACCTTTTAGTAGAACTATTTGGTTGGATTGTCTCCCTTAACATAATACTTGCTTAATAACAATAATATTCAAATTCAATTAAACTTTGACACCGCTCCAATAGTTTCATAATGAAACTTTCATCTACATGATTTAGATGGCGAATTTCCATCATCTTTTCATCACCAATAAATCAAAAATAGGTTCTATATGAATCGAACACATTGAAATCAAATAAATATAAATCCAATAAATATAAACTAGAATGATGTTTGGGTTTGGTATAGCTGTGATATTCGATTCTGTTAAACTAATTACTAACAGTAATTAATTATTGACACTATTATATCGATTTAGATACTGATTATTTTTATTAATTTACTTATCCTTTTTCTAGTTTACTTACTTAATACTTATATAGAGATATAGATCTAGTAATCTATAGACCTAGATCTACATAAGTCCTTAACCACCTGACACTGAAGTTGTGACTTAACTGTTATTGAACGGATAACACTAATATTTAATAGGGTACGTCTGTAATGGTTATAGTTACTTAATCATGTCCAACATTCATGTTCCGTTTTTATCCGAGGAAAGTTTGAAAACATAAAAACGTAAGAAACCCATCCCTTATATAAGTCTTATTTAAAATATTTATTGTAGGCGTATAGCAAACAAAAAATAAGATTCTATTTATTACCTGCTCCCTAGTGACAGTACACGGAACAAACAATCAGTCCAAAATTTACATTTTAAATAGCCTTGTGTACTCTCAGTGATGATGAATATTTCAGAAACAATCGAGGTCTAACGAGAGAGACCAGCTGACGAGTAGAGGTACACACTACACACTAACACGTCACTGGCACTGGTGAGCACACCACTTGAGCCAGTCTACGTGTTTCCTGCACGGCAGGTAGTTCTAGATCTCTCGTGTACACACAGGGCAGCAGTTCTCAAACTATTAGAGCAGTTCTCAAACTATTAGAGCAGTTCTCAAACTTCGAACATTTTCTACCAGATTTTGTATATTATATTAGAACAGTTCTCAAACTTTTAACATCTTCCACCTAGATCTCGCATAAACTATTAGAAGCAGTTCTCAAACTTTTAATATTTTCTACCTCAACTAGATCTAATTTTTTTAGAACTGATCAGTGAAGACAATTCAATAATGTTTTTAAATGTCTTCAAGTTAATAACAAAAACAATGTGTCCAGAATTATCAAGCTAGCGTGTTAACAAAAGCATTTGTTGATCTCTCTATATTTACATCAGCCCCCCCCCCCCCCCCCCCACATACACACACTTGTGGAATATATTGCGCTGAAGTCGCTGGTATGGCTGTTAATTCTATGACTGTTCGTCTTATGAATGGAAACACGATCTACTTCCAGTTTGTTTGTTTTCCTTCAGTTAGAAAACTGATTGTATTGTTGAATAAATTAAAAGCTATGATAGAGGGGAAGGGGAGGTGGAGGTAGAAAAATGGAATCAAAAGTTCGCTAAGTGCGACATTTAACAGAATGTTTTATAGCAAACCAAAGTTATTTCCCCAAACTTTTAATAATAAAACCCACAAATGTAAATTTGTTTTTTTTTTAAATAAATATAAACAGTTGCTAAGTTTTTTTCTGTTCGGGTTTCTTCTGTTCAGTTATTACAAGTAAATGAAATTATTTTTTTTAACTAAAATGGAATAAACAAAACTTACTTACGAACACATCACACGGGCCTACATACAGCGACACACCACATACTCACATCTACACAGCACTACCGATAAGCAGCTGACTTGCCATCTAGTTCAGGCGATTGAAAAACAAAGCTCGATTTATTTTCTATTTTTGTGTCTGATAATGATATCAGTTTGAAAAATATATTTTATAGATTGGCCTGTAGTAGTCCAGAGACCTGTGTTTTATCTGACGTTTTCATACAACTAACATTGGACAAATGTATACATGCTGACAAATACTGACATTGTAAACATGAATCTCACCTTTCTAATTAGATCTGAAAAGCGTTATGTTCTATTGTATAAAATATCCGAACTCCAGACGGTCTGCCACTTATCAGATGGGGTGTCACCTAGCGCCGATGTATAAAAGTAATGAAAGAATTTTTATTAGATCAGGGGAGGTAATGACAAGATATGTTTTTATTAAATACAATATTTGTTATGCTCTCCCTTTGATCGTAAATTAGCTTTTCTAAAAAATCTTACCCCCTGTTATCACTGCAGTATCGTATTATATTATATTATTAGAATAGTATTTATTTAAAAAATAGGCATTTATACATTAAGTAAAATATTATCACAACGTTTTCTAACCTTAAATTTTGTGAATCAAGTAATTTTGGAAAAAATTGAATACTACACCGCATTACAAAGCTTTATTTAATTAATGGCTAAATTTTTTTTTTTTTTAGAAGAATGAATTTTACGCCGAATTAAAAATTTAATGACGAATTTCGCAGTAGGCCAGTGGTGTAAACGTAATCATAAAAATAATTTTTGAAGCAGTATCCTTTTGTTTTTTTAACTTTTTTTTTAATTTTTACTTTATTTATTTTATTTTATTTTTATTTGTTTTTGGTGAAAGGTCGTAATACGCCAGGTGTATCGACATACTGACATCAACACCAGCATAAACACACACACACATCGCACACATACACCAGCATATACATTAACTCCATAACACGCACACATACACGCACACATACCAACTGTATAACAAGTATTACACAAGCGTTAAAGCCTCTGTAACATACACACTAATATAAGACAGCGTTAACATTACCAGTGATACCATGATTGCTACTACCATCATCACAATGTTGATACCATCAATATACCCTAAACATCATAAATATATCACGAACACAGTAAAACAACAACACCATCAGCACAACACCAACATTATCAGCACAACACCAACACCATCAGCACAACACCATCAGCACAGCACCATCAGCACAACACCATCAGCACAACACCATCAGCACAACACCAACACCATCAGCACAACACCATCAACACAACACCATCAGCACAACACCAACACCATCAGCACAACACCATCAACACAACACCAACACCATCAGCACAACACCATCAGCACCAACACCATCAGCACAACACCATCAACACAACACCAACACCATCAGCACAACACCATCAGCACAACACCATCAGCACAACACCATCAGCACAACACCATCAGCACAACACCAACACCATCAGCACAACACCATCAGCACAACACCAACACCAACACCATCAGCACAACACCATCAGCACAACACCATCAGCACAACACCATCAGCACAACACCATCAGCACAACACCATCAGCACAACACCATCAGCACAACACCATCAGCACAACACCATCAGCACAACACCATCAGCACAACACCATCAGCACAACACCATCAGCACAACACCATCAGCACAACACCATCAGCACAACACCAACACCATCAGCACAACACCAACACCATCATCACAACACCATCAACACAACACCATCAGCACAACACCATCAGCACAACACCAACACCATCAGCACAACACCATCAGCACAACACCAACACCATCATCACAACACCATCAGCACAACACCAACACCAACACCATCAGCACAACACCAACACCATCAGCACAACACCATCAGCACAACACCAACACCATCAGCACAACACCATCAGCACAACATCAACACCATTAGCACAACACCATCAGCACAACACCAACACCAACACCATCAGCACAACACCAACACCATCAGCACAACACCAACACCATCAACACAACACTAACACCATTAGCACAATACTAACATTCAATACAACACCAACCTTCGGCACAAAGCCAACACCATCATCACAACACCAACACCATTATTACAACACGAACCTTTATAACAGAACCGTCATCATCACAACACTCAAACCATTAACAAAACACGATCACCTCCAAACACCTTTCTCTCCACAAAAATGTGAAACCCACTTTCAGAGACGAAAGGCAACACATCAAACAACCATCTCACATTTTTCGAAAGTTTTTATCAAGACGTTAAAAATCACGTACAACTAACGGCTTATCCTAACAGCTTGTTAAAAGCGCTGGGCAAATCCTTAAATCCCATGTAGGTTTATTATGTAAATATTATTCAAGTTACGATAAATTGAATTTTATCCTGGATTTTACAATATATCCTCGTGAAATGTCCCTCCAGGTTGTACATTCACTCAGGTGACAGTTGCTGGACGCATAATCTCTGCTCTATCATGTTTTGTAATAGAAACTAATGGGGAGGGGAGGGGGGGGGGGGCGGTGTCACAAATTACCCCCACCCCGGATCAATTACCCCCCGGAATTTCAACCTCCCCCCTTCCCTACTTTACCCCCGGAGCAATTAACCCCCCCCCCCCCTGTCAATTATTCCCCGTTCAGTTAGGGATGGGATTAGGGTTTGGGAAAGGTGTAGGTTTTGAGATGGTGTTAGGATTGATGTTGAGGTTAGGGTTAGGGTCAGGGTACTTTAGAACGGGGGGCGGGGGTAACCTGATAGGGGATTGTTAACAAGGGGATAATTGAAAGGGGGGTAATGACTCGGGGTGGCGGGGGCATATGTCCGGGGGGATTGTCCTAGACCCATCATCTATAAATTAGGGCCACATAGAGAGGGAGAAGGGTTGACAAAAGTTGATTTTCTTTTGTTTACTATTTAAGATGGATGGGGTTGTATTTGGCCTATGTGAGTACACACGCATTACATTTTATATCAATGTACCAAACAACTCACACAAAAACTGTTTTCAGAAAGCCCTACGCTATAGGTATAAAGGCACAGTGTCTATAAGTGTAAAATTAGTTCCATAAACGCAGTACGTGTTATTAAATTAGTTAATAGGAAAAAAGTTTCGAGATAAGTTGTAAATCTCGAGATATAGTATTAGTCTCAAGATGACTTAGATGTTTCCAGATAACTTTTAAGTCTTGAAATAAAGTCTCGAGATAACATTTAAGTCTCAAGATGACTCTTAGGTCTCGAGGTAACGTACAAGTCTCGAGATAACGTACAAGTCTCGAGATAACGTACAAGTCTCGAGATAACGTACAAGTCTCGAGGTAACGTACAAGTCTCGAGATAACTTACAAGTCTCGAGATAACTTACAAGTCTCGAGGTAACGTACAAGTCTCGAGATAACTTACAAGTCTCGAGATAACTTACAAGTCTCGAGATAACGTACAAGTCTCCAGGTAACGTACAAGTCTCGAGGTAACTTACAAGTCTCGAGATAACTTACAAGTCTCGAGAAAAAAATATTTTTTGGGTCCACATTGTGTTGGTTCGAAGTAGCTAAAAGAGGGGTTGGAGGGGGATGTCATAAATGGATGACATCACGACCCCAGCGTCTATATTAGGCAGCACATTTCCAATCACTTAGTAGATGGTCTATGTTATTATTATCCAAATTTTACCTTTCAAATCATCTCGCAATTTGAATGTTCCAAAGATGGAGACATGGGGCACAGTTTTGTGAGGGGGGTCATGTCTACCTTTGGTGGGATACAGTTTTGTGAGGAGGGGAAGGGGGTCATGTCTACCTTCGGTGGATGTCTAAAAGTCTAGACACATTTTTTTTTTCAACAATTTTTTTTTTACCGTCGCAGGTAAGATGACTGCATCCCCCCCTCCCCATTCTTCTCCTACCCCATCCTCCCGCCTCCCAGCAAAATTGTCACTTGACCGATTGCATAATGTCTTGATATTTAGGTCAAAGACATTCCCGAAAAAAAATGTCTTGCCTAGTGAAA